TGAGATTTTGCAATATCACAACACAGAAAACCCTAGTTCCTTATTGAAAGACTTAATTGCCCTTTCTTTCTAGGCTTATTTTGGGTTTGAAATTAACTCGTTGGTGGGCTGCATCCATTTTATAAGCTTTATGGATCACGAGACATAGAATAACTGATTGATAGGACTCGCCCAAATTAAATGGTAGTAGCTCAGTTGGCGCATGGGAGCTGAGAAAGTAGGGGTGAGAGCATGTGTTTGAACAACTGCATCCATTTTATAAGCTTCATGGATCAGGAGACACAGAATAACTGATTGATATGACTCACTAAAACCAAATTGTAGTAGCTCCTTTAGCGCATGAGAGCTTAGTAGGTGGGGGTGAGAGCATGTCTTCGAACCTCCCCAGTACCTCCTTTGGGGAGAGTTTAAAGCTTTAATCCTCAACCCGCCCCGAATCGGACTAGTCACAAAGTGATGAACCGATGAAATATTTCCAAAAAAAAGATAGGACTCACCCAAAAAATGGGAATATCAATTTTGATGAAGTTTATAAAAGATATCATAAAATTTAAAAAATTTAATTATTTAGATGAAGTTTTAAATCAACCGTATTTACTATAATTATTATTATAGTAATAAAAAAAATTCCATTCACTTATTTTATAAGGTTCCCAGTTGCTTTCTCCTGTGTTAGATTTGTGTCTTTCTTGGAAGCGGATATATTATTATTATGTTTTTTTTACACCATATGTTATCTTTTCGATAAACAAGGCTTGAGCAGTATTGATAGGACTATTCAATAAATCTTGATAGGCGTTTTGATTTGGCGATAACTAAATCAATTTAAATAATTTATGGAATCTATGGAATTTGGGGATAAACAAGGATTGAACATTATTAATTTTATTTACTTAATTTATGAAATTTTTATAAATTTTCTTAATCAATTAAATTTTATGGGAATTGATATTCTTATGTTAAAATTTCACATTAGAAGATTAGGTGAAATTTTTGTGTTTATCTCTTTCTTTATTAATGTTGACAAATTATAATTGACCTCTACTTATCAAAGAGAGAAATAGATCTATATGAAAATATCACATCACCAGGTCATGTGAATATTTAATATGAGAGATTTACTCCCAAATTTTACATAATTATTTAGCATAAACAAATTCTTAAAGAAAAACTAATAAGGTATTTAACACTAATTCTTTCAATAAAAATATTTTAAATTAATTACATTTTATTTTGTCACAGGTTATCATTGTATTTTTATTTAATTTTTCTTAATTTATAGTCGGTTAATTTTCTATTTGATACCTTTTTCCCTTTAATTTCTCATGCTGGTACTATCGACTTCTTTTATTTATTTAGATGGATGCACATTTTTTAATTGCGTCATCCTTGATATGTTTAAAGTTAAGTTTAATCTTTTAAATATTAGCTGTAATATTTATTATTTTCATTTGTTATTTCTTCGTAGTTAATTTCTTGTTTTGATAAATGACAGTTTTAAGATTTTGTTTTAACGTGTGCCCCTTTCTTTATATATACACACACACGATAATTCTCTTGGTGAATATAGAACAAGAACTTTATCATGCACACCACACAGGCAAAACAATGTTTTGTATTACCTTCATTTTTAAATAATTAAGTTCATTACACGAATCCAACTTTCTAGTGAAGATAATTTGCCATTAATTTTAAATAATAAATTTAAAACCCAATTCAAATTTTAATGATGCTTGTTTTTTTTATACTCACATTCAAATAAAAAATAACTTTAATTTCTAAAAAAATACCTTAAAAAAGCAAGGTATAATTTTATTTTTTAATGCCCTAACTTATACCTGTTGATATTACAAACACTCCCTTACTATCGTTTGGAGTTTGGACAGTATAAAGGGAAAAGTTTATAATATTACGGTTGTATTATATCCCATTAATAAAAACATAATACATTAGCTGACATATTTTTCTAGAAAGGAAGAGAAAAATAACTTTAATATTATAAGTTTATAACTATATATTTTTTAAAATATATAATTTATAATTTCATTTTAAACTACTCAGTGCAACCTGAGAACTAAAAATGTGTCTGTAGAAAGGGCACTCCTCATTCTTTCTTTCATTTTCAAATTATCGTTTCAAAATCCAGGTAAGTGTTATTTCTTTCCTTCCTTCTCCAGGTAAGTGTTATTTTCAAATTAGAGAAGATCAGACGAATTTTGGTATCTTTCTGGTTGGTTTGTAGTTGTACATCCTAAATTTTGATATCCCAAATAAATCCTTCATTTTCTGTTCTTATTCTTCTTCTTATTTTTTTTAATTAATTTGATCTTTTTAATTTTATTTATTTATTTATTTATTGACATTTCTTTTTTCGTACAGACATTTCTTATTCTAATATATGCTAAGTCGTCTCTTCCTAAAGTTTTTAAGATTTTATCAAAATATTCACAAGTTAAGAGAATCATACGGCTAGACCTGTCAAAACGGGCCAGAGCCCGTGGGCCAGCCCTTCAACCTCATTTTTCAGCCTCAATTTTTTTTAGCTCATATTTGATGGGGTTGTTTTTGACCCTAACCCCATCAACCCTCGTCTCTTTTGGATTAACCCAATAACCTATGGGCCAGCCCGATGCTTTTTTTTCTAAACCCTAAATCCCAATTTTTCTAGTTTTCTTCTTCACCAGCGTTCCAATTTCTTCTTCTGTCACGGTATCTTCTCTATTTTTTTCATTGTTACCGCTTCATCCACTTTCCATCGATTCTAATTTGAAGCCAAATGAGTTGGTGCAGGTGCAAGTTGCGGTATTATTGCTCAAATCATAACTTATCCTCTTCAAACGGTACCTAATCTTTCTCTCTATCTCTCTACCTTGCTTCTCCCTTGGTCTCTATAACCAATTCCATTGTTATTTTCAGGTAAACGCACGCCAACAAACTGAGAGAAATCTCAAGAGGAACAAGCTAAGTCCTAGTACTGTTCCTGCTCTTGGTACTCTTCTTCAAATCTTTCAGGGTGCAAATTTTGCTCTTTTTTGTTTTGTTTTGTTGTGTTTATAATATATATTTTTAATTATATTTATGATCCTTTATCAGGTTATTGGAAGTGAAGGCTGGGGTGGATTATACAGTGGCCTCAAGCCTTCTCGGCGGCGGACCAGTGCAGTTCTTCTCGTCTCCTTGTCTTCTTTCTGGATCTGTGTTGTTTTCTCAGATCGGACATCGTTTGGTATTTTTTCTGTATTTTTTTTACTTCTTGGAGCTTTTCTTTGACCATTTTTTGTGCAGTATGACCTCTTCTCAAAGGAGTTCCTTTACAAAGTTTTATGATGGTGCATCTTCTAGACCTAAGAGATATGATCGATGGTGTTCTTATTGTAAAAGAACAGGTCATATCAAGGATTTATGCTTTCGCCTCCATGGAAAGCAAACTGTTTTAGAAAAGATGGCAATGATGCGTGGTCAAGCGCATCTTCCTTCCTCTGAAATAACTCCTGCACCTAATGAGACCCAACCTGCATTTCGTCCAGATGAATTGGAACGGCTCCGAACCATCCTTGATTATCTGAGTAAGCCATCTGATACTAGTGCTTTGGCTATGACTGATATGAGCTCTAAAACTCATTCTTTCCTTTCTTCAGGTAATGATTTTAAACATTCTTGGGTTGTTGATTCTGGTGCTACTGATCATTTGGCTTGTTGTGTTGACTCATTTACTTTTTATCATCCTACCATTGAAACTCATACAATAGCCATAGCTGATGGCTCACATAATCAGCTGCGGGTTCTCGTGACATAAACTTACAGCAGTCCTTACATCTTAAAGATGCTCTTCATGTTCCTAAACTCTCCACAAATCTTCTTTCTATTCATAAAATTACAAAAGAGTTGAATTGTACTGTAACCTCCTTCCCTACCTATTGTGTTTTTCAGGATCTCGCCACGGGGAAGATGATTGGTGGTGCTAAAGAGCAAGGTGAGCTGTACTATCTGGTGTCACAATCTCCCGCAAATAAAGTAACAGATCACATCTTCGTGACTCATGGTCAATCAACTAATGATTCTTTGATTTGGCTTCATCATAAGCGTTTGGGACATCCTCCTTTTTAGTTTACTCAAGTCTTTATTTCCATCATTGTTTTTGTCTAAGTTTGTTGAGTCTTTTCATTGTGATTTTTGTGAGTTTGCTAAGCATCATCGTGTGTCTTTTCCTTCTAGTAGTACTAAGAGTGTTGAACCTTTTGATCTTATTCATTCTGATGTTTGGGGTCCTTCTAAAGTCCCTCATGCTTATGGAAATAGATGGTTTTTTTTATTGATGATTACACTTGTGTAAGTTGGGTTTGCTTAATGCGTGAAAAGTCTAAGATACCACATCTGTTCTTTCAATTTTATAAAATGGTTGAGACCCAATTTGGTAAAAAAATCAAGAGACTAAGAACAGATAATGGTACTGAATATGTTAATCACAATTTTTCCCAATTTATATGAAATAACGGTATGATTCATGAACTTACTTGTGTTGACACCCCTCAACAGAATGAGGTTGCTGAAAGAAAAAACCGTCACCTTCTTGAAGTGGCTCGTGCATTAATGTTTCAGACATATGTACTCAAATACTATTGGGGAGATGTTATTCTTACTGCAGCATTCTTGATCAATTGTTTACCCACTCGGGTACTTGACCATGTAAGTCTTATTCACTCTATAACTTCTTTTTTCCCTTCTATTCCAACTATGAGTCTTCCTCCATGAGTGTTTGGGTGTGTTGCTTTTGTTTATGTTCATAAACATCATCGCAGTAAGTTGGACCCTAGGGCTATTAAATGTGTTTTTCTTGGTTATGTTCCCGATAAGAAGAGCTACAAGTGCTATCACCCTGGTAGTACGAAATTTTTTGTTTCTATGGATGTTACATTTTAGGAATGTGAGTCCTTTTTCCTCATCTTCAAGGGGAGAATCCTTCACCAGAAAGCTCATCACCTCCTTTCTTTGAGTCTTCAATGTCTACTCCTTTACCTGTGTCAGTGTATCCTTCTCTTGTCCCTATTGTTCCTGTTCCTTCTATATCTGATCCTCCTGTGACTGATCCTCCTGTGACTGATACATCAAGTTCAGCAGAGATACATAAGATTATGACACCTGAGTTTGTATATCAAAGAAGGAAACAACCCACATTGTCTCAGCAGCAACCTCAATCGTCTGAACCACTGGTAAGTCCTGAATCTCATATTTATGATCTTGATGTTAATACTTCTGATGACTTACCCATTACTACTGATTCTGATGATTTACCCATTGCTCTTAGAAAAGGAAAAAGATCTTGTCCTAAGAAATCTTGTTCCTCTTGTCCCTCTTATACTCAATACCCTATCTCCCATTTTGTTCCCTCTGCTAATCTTTCTGTGCAGCACAAAAGCTTTGTTTCAGCACTAGACTCTATTGCAATCCCAAAATCAGTACATGAAGCCTTGAAATATGGGAATTAGGCTCAAGCCATGCAAGAGGAGATGAATGCGTTGGAGAGAAATAAAACATGAGAGGTTATTGATAGACCTAATGGAAAGAAATCAGTAGGGTGCAGATGGGTTTATGCCCTGAAATATAATTATGATGGAACTCTTGAGAGATACAAAGCTAGATTAGTTGTCAAAGGTTACACTCAAACCTATGACATTGATTATGAAGAAACATTTGCTCCAGATGCAAAGATGAATACGGTGAAAGTCTTGTTGTCCCTTGCTGCCCATTACGATTGGGATATAAATCAATTTGATGTGAAAAATGCTTTCCTCAATGGTGAGTTAGAAGAAGAAGTCTACATGGAAATCCCGCATGGTTTTGATTCTGTGAAAGGAGAAAATAAAGTTTGTAGATTAAAAAAGGCCTTGTATGGATTGAAGTAGTCACCTCGTGCCTGGTTTGGAAGGTTTACTAAGGTTATGATGACATTAGGATACAGACAGAGTCAAGGAGATCACACTCTTTTCTTCAAGCATTCCCATAATGGAAAGCTTACTGTGCTCCTTGTATATGTTGATATTATTATCACAGGTGATGATTTTGTGGAGAAACAGATTCTGCAAACACGACTTGCCTCTGAATTTGAAGTCAAAAACCTTGGAAAACTGAGATATTTCATAGGGATAGAAGTAGCTCATTCAAGAAAAGGAATTTTTATCAGCCAGAGAAAATATGTTATTGATTTTCTCAAAGAAGCAGGAAAGCTCGGGTGTAAACCCTCTAATACTCCTATTAAGCAGAATCATAAGATAGGCTATGAAGAGGAGAATCCTCCAGTTGATAAAGGACAATATCAACGGCTAGTTGGAAAATTAATATATCTGGCTCATACGAGACCAGACCTAGCTTATGCTGTTAGTTTTGTCAGTCAGTTTATGCACGACCCAAAAGAGAAACACATGCAAGTAGTAGAGATAATTCTTCAGTATCTTAAAGCTACTTCTGGTAAAGGATTGTTATTCCGACGTGATGGCAATCTCTCTTTAGAAGTCTACACTGATGCTGATTATGCTGGATCCGTGACTGACCGTCGATCTACCACTGGTTATTGCATGTTTCTTTGCGGTAACTTAGTGACATGGAGAAGTAAGAAACAAGATGTGGTTGCCAGGTCAAGTGCAGAAGCTGAATTTCGAGCTATGACTCAAAGCATTTGTGAGTTACTGTGGCTGAAAATTATACTTGATGATCTCAAAATAAAATGTGAAGGACCTATGAAGCTGCTATATGACAATAAGTCCGCTATTTGTATAGCTCATAATCCGGTTCAACATGATCAAACTAAACATATTGAGGTCGACCACCATTTCATCAAAGAGAAACTTGATAGCGAGTTGATTACCACTCCATACATTTTCACTGGGCGTCAATTAACTGATCTATTGACAAAGAGACTTCCTTCAGACAGATTTCAAGAACTTACTAGCAAGCTCGGAATGATAAATATCTATTCATCAGCTTGAGGGGGAGTGTTGTAAATATTAGGTCTTTTATTATTATTAGTATTTGTTGTAGTGGGCCAAGCCCATTAGGTTAAGAATTAGGTTTTTTTGGTCTCTATAAATAGAGACCTCTTTGTATCAGATTAATACACAATTCAATAATATCAGAATACCTTTTTTCAAGTGTTGAAGTTACTGCAATCATGTATTTCTAATTCCTTTCATGGAATCTGGATGATTTGGTTTATACCCATTTGAGCAGAGTAGGAAGTTTATATTAGCTATTAAGCAATTCTGGTAATTATCTGAATTGAATATATAAATTACATTATGTTATGGAATATTTATTTGACAAGTCTATGTTAATTTATAGCAGCTATAATCTAAAGAAAAAAAAAAGTTTTTTGGTCCGCGGGCTGGCCCTAACCCATAGGGTTATATGATTTTTTGGCTCGTGCGAGCTATTTAATATGCGGGTCTTTGACCCTGCGAGCTTTTTGACCCTGACCCGTGCGGGCGAGGGCCTAACGGGCCGGGCTAGCCCGTTTTGACGGCTTAATGATTATTAATTATCATGCTTTCATACCAATCAAAGCATGATAATTAATTACTTAGGTTTCCATAAAAAGCATGATAATTAAACCGTACTTGATATGGGCCGGGCTGTATTGATATGGGCCCAAATTCTTAAACCCTACTCCTTCAACTTCCTAAACTGAAACCGTGAAGTGGCTCTTTCTTCCTTCCACAGGCAACAATGGTGAAATCAAATTCCGACAAGTCCTCCAAAAATCCGGAAGACATAGACACCCTCAAATCCGATGTAGCCTCTTTCGCTTCTTCGCTTGGGTTGTCCACTTCACAATCCTATTCAGGTTTCAACGATGTCGATTTTCGCCAAACCAACAAGCCAAACAAGCCACAGAAGAAGCAAAAAGCACCTGAAAAAACTACACCCCAAAATACCCAGAAGCCAAAAAACAAGACTTTAAACAGAAACAATGGACCCCATGAGAAACCAAACACCAACCCCAAACCTAAACCCCCTGTTCTGTCAGTGGACGCTGCCAATAAGGAAAAGGGGTTCAACAAGTTTAGGATTCTTCCCAAGCTTCCTTTGATGAAAGCAAATGCTTTGGGTGTGTGGTTTGAGGATGCGGCTGAGCTGGAAGCCAAGGTGATTGGTGAGGAGAAGAAGGTGGAGATAAGGAATGTGGAAGAGTGGAAAGGCTTTGTGGAGAAGAAGAGGGAAGTGTGTGAGAGGTTGATGGCACAGTATGCTCAGGATTATGAGTCATCAAGGGGACAGAGTAGTGATATTAAGATGTTGGTTTCCACACAGAGGTCAGGGACTGCTGCTGACAAAGTATCTGCATTTTCTGTGTTGGTTGGGGACAACCCAATTGCAAACTTGCGGTCAATTGATGCTCTTTTGGGTAAATTCATTTCTCATCTTTTTTATTTTTATTTTTAATCGGCTTTTATTGTTATTAACTTGTTATATATGCTTAGTTTGAGCCATCAAGCAAGTATTTACATTGGTTTCCTTTCTTCAAGTGTCGATGAATTGAAGAATAAGTAAGGATTGACATTTCAAGTTCTGACGACAAGTTGTTTTTCTAGGCTATGTATTAGCTCAATTATTTTAGTTAAAAGTTTTTTTGTTTTTGTTTGGGGTTGGGGTGCGATAGAACTTGTTTCAGTTAATTTTTTATTGGTGGGGTTGAATGATTCTGATGCTGTCTTGTATCTATTATTTTTGCTAAATCGAGATTTCTTACTTTCAAAGTTTTTGGCAATTTAATCAACTTATCTTTGTACATAATTGATCTCTTTCCAAGCAGCACTCCCCTGTATGTTACCCTAATCTGAAGCAGATAAGATATGTATCCCAACACTGTACTTGCTAGAGTTTCATTTCCATCAAACATTCAACCAAGTTTTATTTTTTATAGTGATCTGTTATTTCAATCTCATGGCTCTTTTCCTCAATGATTTGTGTCTCTAGTGAGATTTCCCCATCTGTATATATACATTGACTTTAGGATATATAATATTTTTTTGTTCTCCCCATATGTGTTGCTTCAGAGTTGAGCTTTTGACTGTGTTTTTTGTTTAATCTAGGAATGGTTACTTCCAAGGTTGGAAAGCGCCATGCCTTGACAGGTTTCGAAGCACTCCAAGAATTATTTATTGCAAGGTCTGCATTTCCCCTTTGTCTTTCACTCTCACTTGTCCTCTCCCGATCTTGATAAAATTTCTTTTATCATTAAAATGTAATCATAAATGCTTTTTAAAAAATGCTCAAAAAGAGATAAAAATCTGTGCGAGTGATAATTGTGAAAGCTGTGCAAATCATCAAATGTAAACTATAATAATCCAAGCTCTACTTTGCGTGTCCTGCATTACTCTGCTATGAGTATACCCTGTTTATTCTAATATTATATGCCATGTTATACTTTTCGATTTGCATGCTTGTAAGTTGTAATTTAACTGATTATTTGGACCATACTGGACAAATGTCTAACTTGCATAGTATTGAATCACATGCATCATCAGTGCTCTGATCTACTACATTTTCTTTTTTCCTATTTTGCTTGCAGCTTATTACCAGATCGCAAATTGAAGACCCTGATACAGCGGCCGCTAAATCACGTTCCAGAAACTAAAGATGGTTATTCACTTCTCCTTTTCTGGTATTGGGAGGACTGTTTGAAGCAGAGGTATGTGTGGCAACACTTTGTTGTACAAAAAAAAAAAATCTTAAATCAAATTTTCTGATTTGATTTGGTGAAAGGTTTCTTAAGTTAACTCTAAATGCAAGTACATTTTATGTAGTGCATTTTTTGTTTCTTATACTTTGGATGCTTCCTATACATTTAATTATTTGCTTTGCCATTATAAGAATAATTGGATTCTAGTGAGCATTTACACAGAAGTGTAACCTCCTGCTACCACTGAAGAATAGGAGAAAGGGCTTATTCATGCTAGTACCAGACAGCCTAAAACTTCATCATATGATTACTTTACATCACATTAATTAATATTTGCTTGAGCAATCATAATATTACCAATTTTCAAATTTCAATGACAGTGTGTATTGTCCTTGTCAACCCAAGCTCTTTTTTTTTTAGTGATCTATGTAATAGCTTCTGATGTCTCAGATATGAACGATTTATTGTTGCACTTGAAGAAGCATCCCGAGACATGCTACCTGCTTTAAAAAACAAGGCACTGAAGGTTGATTTTCTGTTCACACTTTGTCTAATTTTTTTTTTCTTTCTTTTTGGTTTTTATTTTAGACTTAGTTACTTAATATTTACGGTTACAAGTGACTCTAGTTTATACTTTATTATAACAAAAGGTTTGCTAGTGTAAAGAACCAATTCACCCAAAAGTTTAAGCTATTGGGTGAGGCTACATTAATAGCTTTATATATCTCTAGCACGCCCCCTCACACGAGAGCCCATTAGGCTTGAAGGGTGGATGATGCATCAGGTCCAGCCTACCTGTGCTAAGAAACTCCACAAGACTTAATTAATTATTAATTAAATGAGGGGCGGTGAGGATCGAACCCTGACACCGAGGTTCTGGTACCACGTAAAGAACCAATTCAACCCAAAAGTTTAAGCTGTTGGATGAGGGCCTCTTTAATGGTTTATATTATACTCTAACACGCCACTCACAAGAGAGCCCATTGGGTTTGAAATGTGGATAATGCATCAGGCCCAGCTTATCCATACTAAGAAATTCCATAAAGAAAATGGGGGCGGTGATGATCAAATCCAGGACACGATTGCATTTAGCAAGTAGTTTGTGATGAAAACTGAATAAAAGATTCTGTTTTTCATGAAGTCTTTCAAACCATGGAGATGGTTGATGAGAAAAAAGAGTGGTTTGTCTGATGGGGGGAAATCAGCTGCCTTTTATGGCAATTGTGTGTACAGTAGTGCTGTTCATTGTGTATAGAACTACAAAGTATCATTATCACCAAGAAGAGATTGACCAAAAAATGGAGTTTCTGGGGAGAAACAAAGGCATATCCTGCAATTTCTGGGAAGTTGAAAGGTTTGCCACGAGGTATAATACATGCTGCTTTAGATTTGGAGATGAGGACCTTTTTAATGGTTTATATTATACTCTAACAGCTAGTATTATTAACTTAAAATATTTTGTCTTAACTTCTGCAGGGTACTTGAAAGTTCTTGAACATAATCAACCCGTGAATTATAGGATTTTTTCCCTTGCATTTTGTGGTTTTCTTTTTTGTTTTTATGCATGTTATGTGAGGTGTGAAGACATGTTTTGAGATATATCAAGTGAATCAATTATTAAATATTGTGTGGGTTCCTTTTTGCTTTGTTGCTTGCAGGCCATATACGTGCTATTGAGTAGAAAGTCAGAGCAAGAGCGCAAACTACTTTCTGCACTTGTTAATAAAGTGAGTTAACATTAAGCATGACCTATCTTAATTGGACATGTTTGATCTTCATTTGGTCTTGTCATATTAGGTGGTTAGTGAACTAACTAATACAAGCTGTTTACTAAACTCACTCTCTGATTTTTTTCTTTCTTTCACTTTTGCTTTTTTTCTTTTGTTTTGCTGGTGGGCGGGGACTTGGAATTACTTCAGCTTGGGGATCCAGATTCTAAGGCTGCATCTAATGCTGACTTTCACTTGTCCAACCTTCTGTCTGACCACCCAAATATGAAGGTATGGTTATTTATCAACCTTTTTAATTTGGTTTTGGGAGTGTCAATAATCTATGTTTGAGCCAATGTTTACATATTATCAATGTTACCAGGAAATAGATATATTCTTGAACAAAAATTACAAGCTGTAAAGCTTTGCATGCCTCATATGGTTTCTTTTGTTTTGTTTTCCATTTCCTTCTCTTTTAGAAGATATTGACTATTTCCTTTTTGGTTGAGTGAGATTTGACAATGATATATATGTTTGACGTGAAGGCTCCTATTTTCCTCCTAATTTGTTTTAGGTGCTGATGCAATTGCTTCTTGTTAATTGTATATGTTTTGTTTCGTTACGATTTTCCCCCTTTATTATGCAGGCTGTGGTTATTGGCGAGGTGGATTCTTTTCTCTTTCGGCCTCACTTAGGACCACGTGCACAGTACCATGCTGTATGTCCTAAACTTTTTGTTGTTTATGTTATTATTATATCTTTCAAAGCAAAGTAAAATGCGACAAACTTCTTGTTTTTTAATTGTTACATGCTAGGCACAGAAAAGCACAAGTTTTGGTTTTATCTGCCCTAGTATGTTTCTTAAAGTCTGTCCATCATTGTTTGTGTCATTATCATTCAGATCGGCATCTTATAACACGCCCAAAAGGGATCTTGTATACTAGATCTTGTGACATTTCAGACTTTTAGAATTTATTTGTGTAATCATTTTTTGATTTTGTTAAATGAGAATATTGTGCACTGCATGAATATATCTGTCTGAAATCACTTTTCTGTAGCTACATAAATGGTGACCCTTCAATTTTTAGATGACCTTTGAACTTAAAACTTTGACTCTATCCAAATCCATTTAGACATGGTTTGACTGAAGAATCTCATTGACTGCCTTTTCTACTTTTTCAGGTTAACTTCTTGAGCCAAGTCCGTCTCACAAATAAAGGAGATGGACCAAAAGTGGCAAAACGTCTAATAGATGTATATTTTGCACTATTTAAGGTATTGGTTTTCCCTAACATCCTTCCTTCTTTAAGCTTCTCTCAAACTGAAATGTCATGTCAGTGTGCGGTTCTCAATTTTTAGAAAATAGGTAAAATGGGGGGGGAAATGCATTCACAATTAGAGTTCTGCAGGTTTTGATCACTGCTGCAAGCAGCAATCAAAAGTTTGATAAAAATGGCAAGGCAAATGCTAAGGAGGAAAAATCAAAAGGGTTATCAGAATCACATGCGGAATTGGACTCCCGGCTTCTATCGGCTCTCCTAACTGTATGTATAATTATATAATAGTATTATTATATGCAATGATTTTGATTAATGATTGTGAAATTTTTTAACATGTCAGACTCAGTCATAATCTGGGTATTCACTATTCAGCAACCTTTGTCCTAAATTGTACAATCTTTTGCTATTTCCCATTTGATATTCTTACAGGGATTGAATAGAGCATTTCCTTTTGTCTCAAGTAATGAAGCTGATGACATTGTTGATGTTCAAACGCCAGTACTTTTCCAATTGGTAATATTACTGATTGATAACACATTTGAAACTCTGCGTGCAGTATTTCATACCTGATTTTGGTTCCTCGATGTCTTAACAAAAGCTGCAAACTTGCAGGTACATTCGAAGAATTTTAACGTAGGAGTTCAAGCACTGATGCTTCTTGATAAAATTACATCGAAGAATCAGATAGCCAGTGATCGTTTTTACCGTGCTTTGTACTCCAAACTTCTGCTTCCTGCAGTCATGAATACATCCAAGGCAAGCAATCTCTTTTTACATTTTACCTTCAGACCCAAAATGCTTATGCTTATGCTGTTCTTCACTCCTCTCCTCTCTAGACTTTTTTTTTTTCTAACTGGTTCGTTATCAGGCGGAAATGTTTATTGCACTTCTTCTAAGAGCAATGAAGAGAGATGTCAATTTAAAGCGCGTGGCAGCATTTTCTAAACGTTTATTACAGGTGATTATTAAACTGCCCTTTCTCTACCTTTCTTGTTTTACAAGATAACACTAATGATTCTTATTCATTCAGATTGCACTTCAGCAACCACCACAATATGCATGTGCATGCCTTTTTCTTCTTTCTGAACTTCTTAAAGCCAGACCACCTTTATGGTAAGGCTGGTTATTGTTTGTTCTATGTCATTGCCATTATTAATTGTGGATGTGAAAGATATATAACATTTGTCAAGAAATTATCTATTCTGTGTACTTTGGTAGTCAAGTACTTGACCATCTACTCATTTGACTAGAAAAAAAATCATCTACTCATCTTCACTTGTCATATAGGAACATGGCGTTGCAGAATGAGTCTATGGATGAGGAACTCGAACACTTTGAGGATATTATAGAAGAAACTGATAATGAACCTAGTACTGTATCAAACAAACAAATTGATGATATTGGACTTGTTCAGAATGATGAAGATGCCAATTCTGACGCTGGTTCTTCAGAAAATGAAGATGATCTTCCAGCATCTTCTGAAGATGATGATTCGGATGATGCTTCAGAGGATGCAGGTTTTGTGCTAGCAAAGAGTGATTTAAATGATAAGAAATCAAAGTCTGTATCTGATAATGAAGATCAGCAATCACAGCTATCTGCCAAGAAATCACTCCTGCCTGGAGGCTATGATCCGCAACACAGAGAGCCTTCTTATTGGTAATTTGCTTGATTTGCTTTCACATTAGAACTCATTTCTGATATCTAAAAATTATAAAAGATTTCTGTGATTGTTTGTTCAAAGCACCAGGGCTAAAGATAAATTGCGTAACTGTTTCATATTACTTCTAAAAGGGGAGATAGGTACAATGTTATGAGGCCCATAATATCTATGTTTGCCTCTAATAGGGAACTAAAAGTGATCCACAATTCTGGTAACAAGTTGAAATAGCTGTTGCATTTGGGGAAGTTGTAGTCAAAGAGATTATTTTAATAACCATTGATTTTTATTTTTCCGAGTTATATTCTTAATCTGTTTTGTAACACCTTCTAATTATCTTTCTACATCATAAATTACACACTTTGTCCATCCCAACAGCAATGCAGGCCGCGTAAGTTGGTGGGAGTTAATGGTACTTGCTTCTCATGCACACCCTTCAGTTGCTACTATGGCAGGGACTCTTCTTTCTGGAGCCAACATTGTCTATAATGGAAACCCGTTAAATGACCTGTCTTTAACAGCTTTCCTTGACAAATTCATGGAGAAGAAACCAAAACAAAGCACGTGGCATGGTGGTTCTCAGATTGAACCTGCCAAGCAGGTAAATGTGTTTTTTTTTTCACTAATCAATCATTTCAATTCATGCTTTTTCAGCAGAATCATTTCTGTTGTTAATGTATCGTCATTTCTATCCTATTTTTGCAGATGGACGTCAACAATCATTTGATTGGGTCAGAAATTCTTTCATTAGCTGAAGTAGATGTACCACCAGAGGATCTTGTCTTCCACAAATTCTATACAAACAAAATGAGTTCCTCTTCAAAACTGAAGAAAAAGAAAAAGAAGAAATCAGCTGATGAGGAAGCTGCTGAGGAGTTGTTTGAGGTTGATGGCAGCGATATTGATGGTGGGGATGAGAGTGATAATGAAGAGATTGAGAATCTGCTGGATACTGCTGATCAATCTTTGGAACCTCAAAGTGGCTATGATTATGATGATTTGGATAAAGTAGCCAATGAGGATGATGAGGACTTGATTGGTGATGTTAGTGATGCAGAGATGGAGATAGCCTCAGATATTGGAGAGGAAGACGTTGATGCTTCAATTGATGATGATGGCAGTGATGACAACAATGATATTGACATTGGAGATATTGATGATGCCTCTGATGTTGATGAAGATAAAGTTGACAGAAGAAAACGAAAGCGCAAGAGTGGTGGCAAGAGTGCAGTGTCTCCATTTGCAAGTTATGAAGAGTTTGAGCATCTAATGGAAGATAACCATACCGAGAAAAAACCTTCCCATAAAAAACCCAAGTCTAAGAAAAGGAAAAAGTAATCTGGTCAAGCTCAGCTCATTTTCCTTGGTAATTGATCTTTCTTAATAGAGAACTATGGCCAGATTGAATGTTAGCTTCGAGATTGAAGTGGATATTTGTGTTCATCCATTTTATATATACCTAGTGCTCCTTTCTTTAATTTGGACCCATCATTTGGGTATGTTTAATTTTTTTCGCTTGACTAGTTTAGTCTTACAAAATGTTAAGCAGATTGCTCTTGTTTTCATCTATATTGGTGAGAAGATTGTTTTTTGTTTTTGTCTTTTTGTTATTTATCCACTAGCTAAAAATTTCATTACATGGGAACAAGAGCAAATATAAGAACCAAAAGTACTGGGATTACATTGCCACCTAAACAGCCACAAAGGGCAAAAACAGAGGCCCTTCACTACTAAGCAAGCAGAAAAACCAAACAAAAAACCAAAAAATCACTGTGCTCTAGCTCCCAACACAAATTATCATTCAGGCAATGGAAACTTGAACTGTTTTTGATTTTGGAGCAGGAGGGTGCTTCTCAACAAGCACAGTCAGAACCCCATTTTCACATTTAGCAGTGATGGCTGACACATTGGCATTCTCAGGCAACCTGAACTTCCTCAGCAACTTCTGTGGTGCTCTTCTCTCCAGCCTAAGGTACTTGCAACCTTCATCCTCACCATCTTGAGGTTTCCTTTTCCCATTGCTTCGTATAACAAGTGTGTTCTCATCTTCAACTGTCACCTGCAATGCAGCCACATTTCATGAGTACATCACACCACAACACAAATGTCTAATCACTACTTCATTATATCAAATCACCAACAAATTATGCATGCTTACATAATACTCTGCATATTATCATACAAAAGTCTCATATCATGAATAGTAGCATAAAAAAAATAATCTTTAATTTAATTCTCTCAAGTACACCTGAATTTCAGATTTGGAGAGACCAGGAACATCCACGAAGAAGATATATTCCTTGGGAGTATCCAAAATGTCCACTGGAAAGCTAGAAATTGAAACTCCTCTGGTGTTTTGGTTGTCATGCTCTCGAGATGGAAACATGAAATTTTCCATGGTTTCAGGAAAATTTAACAGGTTGTTCACTGCAGTAACCAAATCCACACCAACACTGCTCATCTTCACCAATTCTCACAGCAAAGTCACCCACTATTACTTTTAATCTGAAACCACCACAAAACACAGCAATTAAGGTAACCACATAAAAACATCAACAACAAAAAGAAAGAGACAGAGAAAAAAGAAAAAGAAAAAGACATCATAGGAGACGAATAGTGAGTCAATGTTCTGACATGTACCTATGCTTGTGCCCCGAGAATCTGACCAAGATAATGAGAATTTTAATGTTTGAGGAATCTTGTTGAGAGATATGTAACAACGACACTTTTGGATGTATATAAATAGAAGAAAACTATGATGAGTGAAGAAGGTTCGAGAGTGATCGCCCAAACGTTCTGGAAACGTCCTTTGAATTTTTTGTTACACGTTATTCTCCGGAAAATTATGGACAACCAAGGCTCCTAGCTTCTCTATACGTGTCACAATCATCTCGTGGCTATTGAGAATGAATCAAATCAGATGATTCTATTTTCGTAATCTTTTCGAACTACGTTCTGTAGGAACAAATCACAAAAAATGAAAAAAAAGTTTATGATTTTTTGAAAAGGGAATAAGAATGAATACTATGATTCAAAGAAAGAAGATTTTTTTTACCAATTCAATTAAGCCCCATCATCCTTCAGCCTCTTGTCATATTAGTAATTCTAGGAAACTTAGGTGAAGGGCACGAAACAAATGAAGCTTTTCTTTATCTTAAAATTTCATAAATCATAAACACTAAAAGATTGTGATATAGTTGCTAACACATATAGCTAAAACCATATAATAAATAAACCAGTTAGGCACACCTACATTTTAACCACCTCTGATCTCCCTTAATTAATATAAAGATACTCATTATCACTCCAACATTCATCTTTTGTGACATATCAGATTTCTGTATGCAGGTCATTTTTCATGTCTTGAAAATGAGAGAAGAGATGAACCAGGCATTAGTTGCTCCCTTTAGGGACCAATGCAACATGGGAGGGTTAGTGCTAGTGATGTGCATGGTTGTTTCATGGATGTTCATACACAGATGGAGTCAAAGGAACAAGTTAGGCCCCAAAACATGGCCCTTTCTTGGAGCTTCCATTGAACAATTAATGAACTATGACAGGATGCATGATTGGCTTGTCCAATATTTGTCCAAGTCAAAAACTGTTGTGGTCCCTATGCCATTCACAACTTACACTTACATAGCTGATCCTGCTAATGTGGAACATGTACTTAAGACCAACTTCAATAATTATCCGAAGGTTTGAATCTTGTTTAAATTTCATTTCTTTTACTTGCATAATTTGATGATTTTGATGGAAAATCTTGTGATTCTAACTGCAGGGTAAAGTTTATCATTCCTATATGGAAGTTCTTCTTGGAGATGGGATCTTTAATGTTGATGGTGAGCTTTGGAAGAAACAAAGGAAGACAGCAAGCTTAGAGTTTGCATCCAGAAATTTGAGGGATTTCAGCACCAAAGTTTTCAGGGAGTATGCCTTAAAACTCTCTGCCATTCTCAGTCAAGCATCTTTCCTCAACCAAGAAATAGACATGCAGGTGCTGCAAACATTCTTCATGCTTATGTTTTTATTGCAATTTAAAATTCATGTCCTTAGTTCTATGAAGTAGTGGAGGCTTTGATTGATGATGCTTGTAATGTCAATTTCTAGGAGTTGTTGATGAGAATGACTTTAGACTCCATATGTAAAGTGGGATTTGGTGTGGAAATTGGAACTTTGACTCCCAATTTACCAGACAATTCTTTTGCTCGGGCCTTTGACACTGCAAACATCATAGTAACACTTCGCTTCATTGATCCACTATGGAAAATTAAGAAAATTCTAAATATAGGGTCAGAAGCACAACTTCATAAGAGCATCAAAGTCATTGATGATTTCACTTACTCAGTAATTCGTAGAAGGAAGGCAGAGATAGAGGATGCTAAAAAGAATGGGCAACAAAATCAGGTAGCATCATAGAAACCATGTATCCAAACATAGCAGTGGAGTTCAAACCTAAGCTTACATATTAATATATCACTCTTATCTTAATTTATAAACAGATAAAACATGATATATTATCAAGATTCATAGAACTGGGAGAAAGCAATGCATCAGCCAAGAGTCTAAGAGATGTTGTCTTGAACTTTGTAATTGCTGGTCGAGACACAACCGCAACAACTGTATCATGGGCCATTTATATGGTAATTACACATGCTCATGTTGCTGACAAACTTTACTTAGAGCTCAAAACTTTTGAGGAGAATCGAGCAAACAAAGAGAATATTTCCTTGCTTCAATGTGACATAGGAGACCCTGAATCATTCAATCAAAGAGTAGCTCAATTTTCAAGGTTATTGAATAAAGATTCACTAGAAAAACTGCACTATTTGCATGCAGTCATAACGGAGACCCTAAGATTGTATCCAGCTGTTCCTCAGGTATGCAATTTTTACATTAAGAAAAAATGATATACTTTTTTTTTTTATCTCATTTGACTCAAATGACTACTAGAAAGCATTATAGGACAATCACAAGGTAGGTTTCTTCATAATGACCTGAATAAGCAGAAGTTCTTCATTTTAGAAGCCTAATGAAAAGAGCTTGAGAATTCATTTAATGCTGCCAAAGGGAAATGAATTTGGCAGTCCAATTTAAATTCTTCTATAAAATGTCATGTACTTAAATGTTATAAAGCACCAATTCAACCCTAAAGCTTAACCTGAATATCAGGTTAATGATTTTATATTATATATCTCTAACATTTATTACTAAGCAAAGTACCTTAATGTAATTTGAAAGAGGAGTTTCACTAAGGTTTTTGCTTAAGATTTAGGGTATTATGAATATAATGTTACATGACACTTCTTGTATCATGTTATAGACACATAAACATCATGGGTCCCACTGCATAGAAAAAGATAAAAAAAATTGGAGTGGGTCCCACATACTTTTGAGTGTGTAGGAAAAAGAAGTTGTGTCATATAACACTATGTAGCACCGATACTGACATGTGACACGATACGACACGACACTCCGACACGTTAATTCTAAAAAATATTAGATTTCGACACGTTAAGACACGTTTTGATATTAAATAATATTTTTAATTTTTGTAGTGTATATTATATTTAATATTCAATAATTTAACAAAAAAATGAAACTAAACTTATAATATTCATCGATTTTGCAAAGAAATATAAGATATCCCAAATATATATATTAAACTCAATAAAATAGTAATCGTAATCCAACGAATCTAATAGTTGGAACTAAAAACTCAACGCAACGCAACCTTTGAACCTTTTTTTGAATTTCTATAATGCATCTTGGAGTGTCGGGGAGTGTCAAAGAGTGTCGGACACGATACGTCAGGGTTTTTGAAGTGTCGGTGTTTCATAGATGTAACATGATATCAACGGGGTTGATTGTAGGATCCTAAGGGCATCTTGGAAGACGATGTCTTGCCAGATGGAACCAAAATAAAAGCAGGTGGCATGGTAACATATGTTCCATACTCTATGGGAAGGATGGAATATAACTGGGGCCCTGATGCAGCTTCATTTACACCTGAAAGATGGTTCAAGGATGGTATTCTCCAAAATGAATCTCCATTCAAATTCACTGCTTTTCAGGTAAGTTAATCTGGTTTGGAATATATAACAAAAATACAAAAGCAAGTATTGCATGTTTGAACCAAGATGTGCAATAAACACCTTAGTTTTTTCTTTGGATATACAGGCAGGGCCAAGGATATGCCTTGGAAAGGACTCTGCATATCTCCAGATGAGGATGGTATTGGCTATTTTGTGCAGATTTTACAAATTCAACTTGGTGCCTGGTCATTCAGTGAAATACAGGATGATGACTATATTATCAATGCAACATGGCTTGAAGCTTACAATAGAGAGACGTTCTTGAGTACTTCATCTTTGATTATATGTCCAATAAGCATCATGATTTCATATTTTAAGTGATGGAATACATAAAATTGATAAAGATTTGTAAGATTTTAACATTAGTAAACCCTTAATAATTTTAATATCTTGGGGTGGTTAAATCTCTTCT